TCTGGAACGGTTTATTAAAGTCGGGTGTATATAGTAGTGGTTGCGAACATAGCACGTCCTTCACTGCTCGAAAAGCTTCTTCTGCAGCCGGTGTCCAACTCACCTTGGTAGGAGCCTCCACCTTTATCATCTCTGTCAAAGGCTCTACCACCTCTGCAAACTGAGGTACAAACCTCCTATAATAATTGGCTAACCCCAAAAAGGCCCTCACTTGCCTTTTAGTGTGAGGTGCTTGATACTTCTGTAAGGCCTTCACCTGGCTTAACAATGGTCTCACCCATCCACTTCCTACTAGGAATCCCAGATATTGTGTTTCCTTTTTCCCTATTGTGCATTTCTTTGGATTGACTGTCAAGCCGGCCCTTCTCAAGTCTTGCACTACTGCTCTCAGTGCGGTGAGGTGTTCCTTCCAGCCTGCGGTGTAGATTATAATATTGTCAATTTAAGTCGCAGCATAGCCCCCATGGGGAGCCAAAACTCTATCCATTAGAAGTTGAAATGTAGCTGCGGCTCCATGTAATCCGAACGGTGTACGCCAGAATTGGAAAAGACCCCAAGGGGTGGTGAATGCTGTCTTTTCTTGATCTTCGGGTGCCACTGGGATCTGCCAGTAACCTTTTGTCAGGTCTAGGGTGGAGGGATAGCGAGCTTGCCCGATGTTCTCTATCAGCTCATCTATTCTTGGCATTGGGTATGCATCAAACGTAGCTACTGCATTTACCTTCCAGAAGTCAATACAGAGACAAATTTTCCCATCGGGCTTAGGTACTGCCACGATGGGGCTCCGCCAGTCACTGTGGAATTCACATGAGATACCCTTCTCCAGCATCATCGCTATGTCTGCCTTTATCTGGCTTTACAGTCGTTGGGGAATCCATCGCCAGTGCTCATGGATCACCTGGCCCGGAGGAGTTCTTATCCGATGCACCACACCCTGAGCTTCCCCAGGTGTTTCCCAGAATACGTCTCCGTACTCCCTGATTAGCTCAGTGGCCTGTCTTCTCTGTGCTTTTGATAATCACAGGTCCAATTCCACATCACCCAGTCCACTTTCCTTGGTCAATGAGGGTCCCAGCTCTAATCCCCTGGGATAGACAGCTAGGTACATGCATTCCTGGTCCTCCCACTTCTTTAGCATATTAACATGGTATAGCTGCTTCTTTTTCTGTTTATCTGTCTGGTACACCTCGTAGTCTACGGGCCCCACTTGGCATATCACTTCGTAGGGTCCCTGCCACCAAGCAAGCAACTTACTCTCCCAGTCCAGCAACAGAACCAACACACAATCTCCCACATCAAATTTCCTTGTCCGAGCGCCTTGGTTGTAATATCTCACTTGATGTTGTTGCGCCTCCCTGAGATTTCCTAGGACTGCGCTCCGGGCTGCTTCCAGATGTTCCTGCAGGTGTATTACATATTGGATCAAGTTCTGGTCTTTACTCTGCTGTTCTTCCCAGCTTTCTTTAATCAGATCCAGGATCCCTCTTGGTCGGCGGCCATATAATAATTCAAAGGGTGAAAACCCAGTCGAGGCTTGTGGTGCCTCCCTTACCGCAAACAAAAACAGTGGTATCATTTTATCCCACTCTTGAGGTCTCTCGACCACGAACTTCTTTAATATCCGCTTCAGTGTCTGAAATGTTCTACAAGCCCATCCATTTGGGGGTGGTACACTGCTGTCCTCAGGTGTTTAATTCCTAAAGTCTTGCTCACTCCCTCAAACATCCGTGATGTAAAATTCGTTCCCTGATCCATCAGCAGTTCTTTAGAGAGTCCTACACGGGAAAATATCTTCACCAGCTTGTTTGCCACCTTTGGGGTGGACACGGTCCACATCGGCACAGCTTCTGGATACCTTGAGGCATAATCCAGTAGAACTAATATATACTGGTTCCTGGTGCTACTTCAGGGAAGCGGCCCCACGATGTCCAATGCCACCCGGTCAAAGGGAACCTCCACCAAAAGCATTGGAACTAAAGGAGCCTTCAGGGGTTGTCTTGGATTCACTTTTTGGCACACGGGACATGAAGCGCAATACTTTGCCACTTCCCGCAACAGTCCTGGCCAAAAAACCTTGCTCGAATACAGGCCTCAGTCTTATCCCTGCCCAAATGTCCCTCCAGAGGGAGCTCATGAGCCACCTTTAATAAAGCTTGTTGACAGTGCCGAGGCACCAGAAATTGTACAACCTCCCCTCCTTCAGGCTTCCTCTGTTCAACTCGGTACAGGAGGTCAATTCTGATCTCGAATCTCAGCGTTGTCTTTATCAGCTCCAGCCGTAACACCTCTCCATTTCATTGGGCCAAGTGTTCTTGTAGTGCAGACTGAAAATCTGGCTCCCGACTCTGCTCCAACTGGAAATGCTCATCTTCCCATAAGTGTGCAATGTCCACCTCTTGTTCACCCCTTTCTTCGGCAAGATGTTGTTCAGTTGTGCCCGTGAACACTTCTGCCTTCTCCCCTAGCCTCACGCTGGTTATCTCTTCCAGCAATTCGGACCAGTCACAGCCCAATACTACTGGATAAGGTAAGTGCTCAGCAACCCCAACCAGCATCTGATGTGTCCTCTTGCCTACTTGTAGGGTGGCCCTCACCCTGTCGATTTCAAGGGGGTCTCTGCACCAACACTGCACTTTTACTCGATCTGTTACTCCCTTTTCTTTTGTCGGTACCATGTCCCTCTGCACCAGTCTGAAATGAGCCTGAATCCAACATAGCCTGTACCTTTTTCCCCATCGACTGTCACGTCCACCGTTAGTGTGGGAGATTCGTCTCTCACCTCAGCGTCGACTCTGATCCCGTAGCCACATATCCCTACCCAGATGGTTGGTCGCGGGAGGGTGCTCCTGATTGTGTTGGCTAACAGTGTCTTTTGTCCTGTGGCCTGATCCCGTAAGCCTCATATTGTTAGACGTAGCCGGTACTTGACTTGCCGTTGTGACTCTGAGTCTGGCGTTGGTATCCACTCCTGTTGCCCTCTATTGATGGCTTGTTTCCTCATATGGCCAAACCACCATCTTAGGGTGCATACGGCCATATTCCTGGCAAATGCACCATTGTGACAGATGTGCCTCTTCAGGGTCCATCCATTAGTGACCCCGCAACACCGGTTATGGGCCAACTGCCTGCCTTCTCACCTGCCATGCCTTGTTGTTACTTGCTTAATTAGAGGATAGTAATCAAGCAGGAGGCTGTCCATTTTCTGTCTCAATGTCTAGGCACTATCTGCGGCTCCTTTCCTCCCCTTACACCGCAGCCCAAGCCTCGCGGATGTACCTCACGTTGTTGTTCAGGTCTGTTCCACTCTCACAACCTGCACCCCACTGACACTCGACTCGCCTCACAGCCTGCACCTCACCAGTGCTCCAGCTCGCCTCTTGTAACCTGTGCCACACAGGCGCTCTGGCTTGTTTCTCGCAACTGTGCCCCTCTGGCACTCGTCAATTGCTGCCCCCTCTCCAGGGCTTCTCATGCTGCCCTGGGGCTCAGGGGGCTGTAGCTGTACCTGGCCCCAAATCTCCTCCTTGGGGTCTCGAACCCCCTTCCGGGCTCAGGCAGCTTCAGCCTTACCTGGCCTCCGATTCTTCACTCCCCTTTTCGGGACTAGGGTCAGTGTAGCCCAAAATGCTGCGCCCTCTCTGGCGCTGGGGTCCCCAAGCTACCGTGAAGCCCCTACGAGGCCTCCTCCAACCCCTAATAGCCTCACCCGGTCCTCCAGTTAAAACAACAAACACAAAAACACAAAGCCCCTGGGCTATAACGTAAAGCTAACCCGTCCGGCCAAACAACATTCAATCCCTACTGGGAAATACTCCAACCCCAGCAGCGCTCAGAGGATGCTCATGCAGTCAGGGCTGTCCCCTCTGTCTGCACTGGCCAAGCTCCTCCTCCTTTGGTCGCCAGAAAGGAACTGCCCTCCTGGCCTCCAGCCTAAGCTTATATGGGCCAGGCCCTGCCCCTTCCTGTCAGCTGGCTCCCCAGCAGTTGTCCTGGCAACCAGCACCTGTTACTCTGGCTGCCCTGGCAACTGGCAGCTGGGCCTCCCCCATCTTGCCAATAGGGGTCTCTCCCGAGCTGTTTTCTGCTCTCAGGTGCAGGGTACCTGAGTGCTCTGTGACAGGTCCCTTCCAACCCTAAATACCTACGATTCTATGATTCAGTATATGTTGAGACTTATTTCATTTGTAGGTCATTCTTCATGAATACTGCTAGCAGAGTTAAGAGAAGCATTTTTAAAACTGGTAGGGGCATTAAATTCCAGTGAAAACAAAGACAGGTCGTCTATTCCCAATTCAGGCAGACTGTTCCTTTTCTTTACTAGGGCCTTGATTACACAGAAAAGTTGAAGTAGATTAAGTAAGGCTGTGAATTTTATATGGAATAGATATTTCTGACAGACTCCTTGTGTGAACATTCTTATTCTGAATTAGCTTAATCCACTTCCACAATGGATTAGTAATTGGCTCAAGAGTGCAGAGGAAAGGAGAACAAAACAGATCTCAGGACATTTCAGAGTCCACACTGACACTGTCTCATGTACACTTCCTATTGAAGGATCCAGATTCTGCACTCCCTTATCTTGGCTTTGCAAAGGCACCCACCTATCAATTGCACTAACTTCTTCACAGAATATAAAATGGCCAAATCATTGAGAAGCAAGGATGTCTTCTGGGAGGGAGTGGAGCTGGAGACAGAGACTTAACTGCATTAGGCTGTTAATCCTTGGAAAACTTTTATTTAAATCATTGTCTTCATTTTTGTTTTTGAGAGAAAACTTCTGTACTTGTACCTTCCAGATATTGGATTCCAACTGGATATTTTATTCTCATGGTCAGATGTGCTTCATTACAAGACTGTCATTCAAATCACAAATAATCAGAAAAGTGTCATGTGTATCTACTAGTCAGTAACTTAATTGGTCACAAGTTTTAGAAGCATGATTAACATTTAATTCAATGAGTGTAGTTTCCTTGAAAATGATTTGCTTTTTTGTCACTTACTTTTGATAGACTACAGCTTGACAAAGCTGAAGCTGTGTCTTAATAGGCAAACACTGGAACGTGCAGTTCTTCTTCAGATATGATTGTATCTTGAAAAAAGGCAAGAAATGTTAATGTAATAAAGGTTCTAGGAACATATAAAGACATTTTAAAACATCCCCTGATTCTGACTATGCTGAACCCTTTTCTGAAGACCCAACAGTGGAACTAGCTACCTTTTCTTTGGCCTCTGTGGCCAGGCTAGACAAGGGCAGTACTTGAGCTCTGTGCAAGACAAGTGCTGTTGCTGGATTCCATGCCTCTGCCCCATTTTCCACATCCACCAGCAGAGGAGAGGGAATGATTTTCACTGTGGAAGGATGTCACAGTAGCCACACTTCCCTTACCCTCCCTGCAGTCCCAAGGAAATATTGTGTCTATTTCAGATACCCCACGGTCCCCTGAAACAACTCAGCTCTGTGCCACCTCCAGTTCTGAACATTAAGAATAAAATCTTGAAACCAGCATGCCCACAGATCGCCCCAAAACTCAGTTTATGTATACTCAGAACCAATCTTTTTACTATGAAGCTTGTCCTGGCAGAGAGTCTTCTCATTCCTCTGAAGTACAAAAGAGATGCATATGCTTTTTGCACAGTTTCCTTCTCTAAGATTTTGCCTGTAACTTAGTGGGGACTCATATCTGCATATTCCATGAGTTAGTAACTACATTATTGTATTGTCATCATAATTTTGTTTCTTTGCCTCATTTTAGAATATGACTAAATTCTCAAACTAGCCTGAAAGAAAGGAGGAGTTATCAAGAAAACAGAAGGAGTTCTCAAACTAGCCTGAAAGACAAGAATATTCAAATTAGCCTGAAAGACAGGAGTTTTGCCCTCAGTAGCTCTGTGTTTACATGTATCCCTCCACAGAAGTCAAAGAGTTCATCTGGATTTACACAGCTGTAAGACCAAAATGTGACACAGGATGTCACTCAGAGTTTAGTTCATGGATGTCACATGCACAAATCTGGATACAAATGTGACGGGCTAGCTGGTAGTGATTTAGCCCAGGGGTTTTGAAAGGGTAAAAGATGATTGGAGGACTTGTGATTCCCTTTCCTCACCAATCAGGCCCCAGAGACTCACTCTCCATGTCCCCTGATTGGCCCCTTGGGTCACCTGGAGGGGGATAAAAGGGGCAGTGCAGCTGACTCAGGGGAGACCAGCAAGGGACCACAAGGAAGGAGCTTCAAAGAGCTGGCAAAGAGCTGGGCAAGCGGGATGGGAGCAGTTGCCCCAGAAGAACCTGAAGGAGCGGAACCTGCAGGCAGCAGCTGAACCCTCAGCAGTGTGGTGTGCAGCTGGCAAGAGAGGCTTCCTGCTGGGCTCCAGGATCCCCTATAAGAGGCTGTGGCCAGCAGGAGAGGCTCCCCAGCTCCAGCAAGGATCTGAGCAGTGACCTGAGAGGTTCCCAGATCTGCTTCCAGTTTCTCCAATAAGGGGCCAGGAAGCTTGACATGAGGCAGGGGCTCTTGAAAGTTCAAGACCCCTAGCAGCTTACAGCAGTACCAGCACTGGTGGCTGTGTGGTAGAGCTTTTATCATGCTGTGTAAAGAATTAGTGGCTGGCAAAGACTAAGATCTGAAGTGCTCTGAGGAAAGAACTTTTATCTCGTCGGTCACCTCCATACAGTATGAGGCAGCGTCACATAATAGACCTCTTTTAAGGCAGAAACTTCTGTCAATATTTGTTAAATGCTTCAGAACAAGCTCTCACACTTACAAACAAGCTTTTTATTTTGGAACAAACGAAAAATCTATGAACTCTAAAAAGCCTCTTTATTTTGTAGCAAGTTAACAACAGGAAATATAGGTTTCTTTGGGTGCTTTTACATGAGCATTAAGGTGCCATTGTTACCGCGCATTAAGTTTAGTACCTCTAATTTGAGGTACTAATTACATTCGCAGTAACTAGCACTACTGAGCAGTAGTATCAGAGTATGGTCTTTTTGTGATGCTTAATGCGCAGTAGACTAATTCTACTGTGCATTAGCACAGCTTTTGCCATGACATGCTAATATGCAGTAGAATTAGTCTCCTGTGCATTAAGCATCTTGTGTAGATGCGCCCTTTGTACATTAGTATGTGAGACTGCCCATTTATTTAAGGTTACCAACACAAAGTGCAAAAACACATCATCCTCCCCACATGCCTCCCTGCCCCACCTTGTTTGTAAGGAGGGAAAATTTATAATCCTGCACACGGTCTTTGATGTAGGATCAAAGCCTAAACAAACACATTCTTGGAAAGAAACAGTCTAACTTAGACACCCACCCCACAGTTTCTAAGCACTGTTTCCACAGTTCTGTAGCTATTTAACTGATTATTAATCCTATATCTCTGTTATACATTTAATGATTACTGCTGTATTATTTTGGTCTTTTGTTACTGAGATACATATAGGTAAACAGAAATATATATAGTTTTTCATTTACCAAGCTTTTCCTGTGACTGGCAAGTTCATACAACATCAGTACATTGAGTAAAATAGGAATATTAATCTTAAGGGGAATCTACCACCTTTAACACAGAGTAAAATCTGGCAGCTGGTAAATTCATATACTGAGACCTAGGTACGTGAATCTGTATTTCTAAGGGCATTTTTACATATGCTTTAGGGGCCGGGGGGCAGGGAGCGGCTCTAAGAGCCGCTCTAATTAAAGCACCTAGAGTGTTTCATGTGTCAAAATGAGACGCTTCAAAATGGCAATGGGTGCGCTTTATCTAAAGCTCATCAAACAAGCTTTAGTTAAAGCTCCCCTGCTGTAATTACAGCACATCAAAGCAGCCTCCCAGCATGTGTGCAGGCACCCTAAATTCCTACCAGTTGGCTCTCATTTTAAAATGTTTTTCTGGAGTGTGCATCAGTGTGGTAGTTTCCTATTTTTCCCTTTATTAGAAATAATTCAACAAAAAAAATCTGTATCAAACAAAACATGTAGAAAAAATATATCAAAAGGAAATAGATTAAGCAAACAGAAACAGTGAGGCTACCATAAGTAGCATAGATTTTAAGAGTTACAGCACATGTATTTCCCAACCCTCTTAGAACTATTTCATGGAATTAGGTTTGATGACAAACATCCAACCTCATTCATTATTTTTAAAATAGGAAGTGAGCATGTTTATCTGAATATATCTGCATATTTTTAATAAGAGAGTGTTTTTGCATAACCACATGCCTCCAGATGGGCCAAATATTTCCAGAGACATTGCTAGCATGGTGAAACTGCACTGTAGACCTGTCACCTGCTATTCCTTAATACAACGGCAGAAAGTACTAGCTGCAGATTGCTTGATATCTGAGAATGAATATCAGTAGAATAATGATTAAGCACTCAAAATTTGATACTCAAAGCCAAAGCAATAACTACAGCTTTAGGTGAATATATTAACAAATGGTGCTATATCAATCATTTTTCTACACTATACTTAGCATGATTGTTTTCTGTTCTTGTTTTTAATTATATTTACATACATGCAATGGCTAGCTACAGTACGCTCTCATATGATTGAAGTAATTATTTATCAGATAAAGAGCTTTTTCTCCCACCTGCTTGAGGTCTTGCTGGCTTCTTTGTTCAGGGCAAGTATATAATAGGTGCTTAAGCTTTTCAAAATCTTTCTTCTGAAACAAAAAAGAAAATGTAAACATTAGTCTATTCATTTTTGTTGACTGTATCTTACTTGTCCCCATGGACACTTAATGTACTTGAAATAAAGGTTTCTACAGCAGTCATGGATAAACTATTTGAGTTATGAGTTTTTGTTTTACAGTTATTCCAAGAATATACTGCAATACATTTTCAAGGTACATAGGGTGCGTCTACACGTGTTGCTATGGCGACATTGTTACTGAGCCACAATTTAGTACTTCCTTTTGGAAGTACTAAATCACGGTGCAGTAACAGCCCATATTGCGCTGTGCATGCAGTGCACAGTTATTTTTAGCAGCTACTTCACCATAGCGGCATGCTATACTGGGGGAGCGCATCACTACAGTAAAGTAGCTGCTGCACCCCAGGTCTTGCCCAAGGTACAGTTAACAAGTAAGACACTACATCACCATAAAGCATTGCTACAGTGACAGTGTCATGTGTAGATGCACCCATATTATTCATAAGATGCAAATTATACATATAAACACAAGAGTGAAACAACTGTATAAGAATGCATTATGCTGTGCAAATAAAAATTCTGCCAGTAACTAAACTGGTCTGAAAGGATTTAGCTGGGACCTTCATTCTACTTCTGGTTTGTTACAAGCATTTTTGACTAAAGACAGACAAAAGGAAGAAAGAAGAGCAGCAGAGTATGGATCCTGGATGTCAGCAAAGCAGACTTTGACATCTTCAGGGAATTGATAGGCAGGATCCCCTGGGTGGCCTGTCTGAGGGGGAAAGGAGTCCAGGAGAGCTGGTTGTATTTTAAAGAAACCTGACTTACAATGAGAGGCTGAGGGAACTAAGTTTATTTAGTCTGCAGAAGGGAAGACTGGGAAAGGATGTGACTACTTCAACTACTTGAAGGGTGGTTCCAAAGAGCATGCAGCTAAACTGTTCTCAGTGGTGACAGAACAAGGAGCAATGGTCTCAAGTTACAGCAAGAGAGGTTTAAGTTGAATATTAGAAAAAACTCTCTCACTAGGAGGGTAGTGAAGCACTGGTAGGTTTTCAAGGCCCAGCTCAACAAAGCCCTGGCTGGAACGACCTAGTTGGGGATGGTCCTGCTTTGAGCAGGGGGTTGGACTAGATGACCTCCTGAGGTCCCTTCCAACCCTAATTTTCTATGGTTCTATAATTCTATGTTTCTATAACTAGAAAGTTCATTCTGGTAAGGTGCTTTGCATTCTGATCACATGGAGGTGACCTGAAAGCATTTTTGAAAGTGGTTATTTCACATTCTGTCCTA